TTTTTTTTTATATTTTCTCTGCTTTTGTTGTTGCTCCATGTATTTCTGACTTGGATGTAAACCTTCGACTTTCTTAGCCTTAGCTGGGCCTTATATTCACAGGTCGGGGGTGTAGCCTCAACCCCCCATCCCAATCTGGGATGTTTATTTTTTCCAAAAAAAAAAAAAAATCTATTAATTGAGTCGAGCTGCTCGATTCGACTCCACTCGACTCGACTACACTCGACTCGACTAGACTGAACTCAAAGAACACCTCAAACCAACAGCAAAAAGAGAGACGTAAAACCAAAAACCTCAAAAAAGGGTCGACAAACGGAGAGGGGACACACGCTTCGCTGAATCTAACTGCACCAATCGACGGCGGAGATGTCCACGTCAGCAAGCGTGACGGAGAGAAGAGGGATTCCGGCAGCGGCGTTTGTTGAAGATGTGCAGACCTACCTTTCTCAGTTGAATCTTGATGTAAACTCAGCCCTCGCTTTTTTACAAGAAAGGTCCTTTTTTTTTTCCCTTCTTTCATACGTTTCTCTAAATTCATTATATGTGGTTTATCCGGCATATGATGCTGCCTGAAGTTTAGATCACTGTGTTGTTTGCTTTATTGTTGTCTAGATTTACATTTTGGCTGCACATTTATCTAAATTTATTGTTGGCAAAGCTTCGTTATTTTGGTGGATTAAGTGGGTTCTTGCTGATTTTTTAGTTGATGGGGGGTTTTGATGTCTACTTTTTTTTGTTGTAAAATTGGAGATTGGTTGAGAAATTGATGTATAACTAATTTCTATGTTGTTTTTAGTACTTTGTTTGGCTGATGTTGTAGGATTACCGGCTAAAGGTTCAAGCTTTACTACATCTTGGCACTTCTACGTGGGGTTTGTAGTTTATAGATTTATTGTATGTGGAAAAGTTTGAGGGATTTCAAATGGTTTAGTACTCTTTTTTGTTGAATTATGCCAATGTAATTAGACCGTGCTTCCCGTGTAAGTTCTTAGTCGTGTCTCATTAGTTTCTCTAGTTACAAGTTCATTGTTGATCATTGATTTGCTAATCTTACGTGATTACGTGATTACATCTAAGCTTTACTACATCCCAATACTTGTTAATGTTGGTCTATAGTCTACACATTTATTTCTTTGATATTTTTCCTTATAATTTTGTGTATCTTCAATGCTTTGTAGGCTTCAGCAATACAGAGTTGTGGAGATGAAACTTCTTGCCCAGCAGAGGGATCTTCAGGTATTCTGATTTTTTCAAGATTTTCATTTTCGTTTTTTCATTTCTTCTAATGAATGGGTGTTCTTTTGAGTTGAGGAGTGGTGATCTTTACTTGTGTAGTTTCAACTCTGTTTTGACCCGAGTGGGTAAGCATGTGAGAGAAAATTAACACTTTATATGAAAATTTGCACTCTGCACCTGCACGATGCTTGTAAGCCTACATTTTTCAGAAAAGATCGAATTCCTTGAGATAGTAAATGTGACCCGTCATATTCTGGATGGTTTTAACAACAGGCGAAAATTCCTGATATTGAGAAGTGCTTAGACGTCGTTGCAACTTTGCAAGCAAAGAAGGGAACTGGTGAGGTTTGTTCATAAAACTTTAAAACTTTTTGATAGAATATCATGCTCACCTTCTTGCTTTCGTCTTTGGTTGGATTTGTTACGTTGGACACATCATTTGCCAAGATTGACTGTTCTGAATGTTCTATGTGGCATAACATAAGTTCTTCTTCAAGCTTTGGTGTTGAGTTTTTACGGTACCATTGGTAATGATTACCACCTGTCGACATGCTTGTGAAGTATGCCTGGCATTTAACGGATAACAGATAACTTGATAGCTAATTGAATTAACAATTTTTGACTTAACTGTTTTGATTGGCTGATGTGCTAAGTGTTTGGCAAATAATTACATGTTTGATGTATAAGAACCAACTACGTTTACAATCCTCTATCCCGAAAAGCTTCTACATTTAACTCTTTCGAAATTTGCTTTTTTGGATTCAAAAAGTTATTTCAAACCGCTACTAACAAAACAATTAAAGAAGAGGTTCCAGTTTAGCCCCCAACAACAATGATTACTACAAGGCTATTTATACTCTTTGTTTATATTGCAAATTATGCATAATATTATTAAAGAGGAAAAAGGCTTAAAACCCACTTGGTTACGAAAAGCCAACCCATGTGTCAAAATTACAATTTACTCCATAACATGTTACAGTAACTCCTCAAAGTTTTTTCCTTTTTTATTTATTTTATTTTTTTTTTTTCCCTCTCTATAACAAATATTTCCTACTGAAGGCAGTAACAATCTCACCATGGACATTTGGACTTTCTGTGTTTTTCTTCCATTTTGTATTAGTATTATATTTGATATGTCATTTTTATTCCGTGGGGTTCATTTGCAGGCAATTATTGCTGATTTTGAAGTGTCGGAGGGCATATACTCCCGGGCTCGTGTTGAAGATGCAGAGTCTGTTTGTCTGTGGCTTGGGGCAAATGTCATGCTGGAATACTCATGTGAAGAGGTAAAATTATTATTGTTTATTTTTTGACTCGATTAACTCTGTGATTTCGTACAATTTCTTCTTGCCTTTGGTCTCTGAGACCTTGGAAAAAAACTTCATTACCCAGGCAACTACCCTTCTTCAAAAGAATCTGGAGAATGCCAAAGCAAGTTTAGAAGTCCTTGTTGCCGATTTACAATTCTTAAGGGACCAAGTAACAATTACTCAGGTAATGTGATTGGCACTATTCTTCTAAGCACTTGAATTCAAGAGTTTTAAAGGATATCATGTGACATACCAAAATAAAAAAATAAAATAAAATAAAATAAAAGTCATTGCCGAAATTTAATAATTGCTTCCCATCCGTGTTATGTTGTATTTTTTTGGCTTGCAGCTTATACTTACCATTGACATTGTGGTCTGGTCACAGGTTACTATTGCTCGTGTGTATAACTGGGACGTACATCAACGTAAGCTGAGACAAGCTGCTACTAGTTCCCAGTCGTGAGGTTCTCAAAATATTGGTCGTCTGTCTGGCTTTTCTAGAGTTTTGCTCGAATATCCGATTTTCACATGTCGTGGCTCTTTGATATAGATTGTTTTGCCAAGAGAAATCAATATTCAGTCGGTCGAGTTCAGATTTGCAGTTGTTTTCCAGCTGAAGAAAGTTTAATTATTTTTTTTCTTTTTTTTTTCTCTAACGTTACAACTTATCATGAATCTATTATTGAACTCGATCGCTTTTTTTTTTTTGCTGTAACATTGTAATTCATACGTGTTTTTGTACTCTTTGTTTGGTCAATGTTCGTGTCAGTCTGCTTTGAGCTGCCCGGACTTTGCTGTTCTAAATTCTTATTTTGGAGTGGTAATATTCATAATATAATGCTGTGCTCTTGCAGACAGTTTATTTCGTTCAAGACTTCAAGCAAATTCTCACTTTTAGTTAATATTACAAAGTTTCATGCTTCACTTCATATTTGCCGATCAAAATGTGATGAGTGGACCCATTTGCCCCTTTGACTATTTGCTTATCGTTTTCTCCATTGGAATCTGATAATAAAAACAAAAAAAAAAAAAAAAAATGATTGTTTTTTATGAGAAAAGTAGGTTACTTTTTTGAATTTTGACCTAGATTTGTGATGGACATAGGTCATTTTTCTTCTCTTGGGTAAAAAAGTGTTGACAGGTGATCAACTGCAAGTGCACAAACTATGGAAGAGGCGATGCTGTCCCTAAGGGTAGTGCAGTCAGTCTTTAGGGAATCTTGATTTAAACATATACGCACACACACACCCACATGCGTGTGTATGAAATCAAGGACCCCTAGGGGCATGACAACACTATTGAGCGAGTGGACTTCAGGGTCACCCGGGTTTTGACACGTTTAAATTTAGAAGAGCAAATGAGTCGAGTTGGTAATAATTGATTTTTAATTTTGAAATAAATGAATGAAAAAATAGAGAGAGAAGTAAAAGAGTGGTGCCTTTTATTTATTTTTTTTTTTTCTTTTTCGATTGGATATATCTTCATATTCATTCAGCGGCTTCATCACAAACTGTCAGCCTCTGTCCGATAGAAAGTCGGAAAATCAAGCCTATCGGCCTAGGGGATCCACTTATCAAAGCGTGGGACTAAACTTCCGGGAGGTGCAGAGTGTCACCCTTACACCTTCCAGGATAGTTGGGTTCGATCCCACAACTTGTGGCACCAACAACTTAGCCACCACCATTAACCATGGGGCTACATGTCCCACGGGCATTGGTGCCTTTTATTGATTGGTTAAAAAAGATTGTTAAAAATATATGCAATGGGACAGTTGCAATTGGCAATGGGTTCTGAATGAGTAGACTTGAGGGTCGAATGGAATTCAGATCAGAGCAATTGTGGAGGTATAAGGGCAACCGCATTGGGGCGTTAAAACCTCCCGTTTAAATGCCAATTTGGAGTTCACAGCAATGCAGCAGTTCATTATATGCGTGGGTCCCATAATACCGTTCAAAGGGCTGAACGTTAGCACTTTACTTTTTCATTTTTTTTGTTTTACTTTTTTTGTTTTCATTTATAATTATTTAATCAATTTGTTTTATATATGAGTGGATAGTGGGTCCTCTTTATGTATTTAAATGAATGAATATGGATGTGGGTGTGTGTTTAAATGGAGAGATATTTAGTGAAAAAATGATGCGGAGATAAGGTGGATGAGAGATAGTGTAAATTGTGATTAAATGAATGTTAACGGATGGAAGTCCTAAATGAGTCCAACTAGATATGGATTTGGCTTTGCTTCCTTCATTTCTTATTATTATTATTATTATTATTATTATTATTATTATTATTATTATTATTATTATTATTTTTTTTTTTTTTTTTTTTT